TTAGGCTAAAGATTACTTTTTCTTTTTTACTATTATTTTATTTAATTTTCAGATAAATTAATTTCTCTGTTTATAAAAAAATATTTTAAATTTATTCTTTTTCTTTTATCAACGGCTAGTACAGCAAAGTTAAATATTATATCAAATTTTGACGATATATAATATTTTTTAATTAATTCGTGTATAAATTAAGTATTATGTTAAATGTTATACAATACATGATATGATATTAAAAAATAAAATTCGGCTAATAAATTAAAAAAAAAAACAATAATCAATCAATTAACTCATACCCTAAAATTCTCTTTTACAAAGAGAATCCTTTAGATGTCTAAATAATTTTTTTTAATATTTTAAAAATAAATATATATTTATTTAATTAAATAATACATAATATTAATTATGGAATAAATAAATATATAATCTAATTTTTTATCGAATAAGAATCATTTAATTAGTAAAAAATATAAAAATAAAATATCTTTTAAATAAATTTATTTAAAGATATATTCTCATATATCAAACTAATATATTAATAATTGTGAAAAAAATATTAAATATAATAATAAAAATTCAATTCTTATATTTTGAAACAAAAATATTAAACCAGACTAATTAAGATAATAAAATATATATTTTTTTAATTAAACTAATACGTATTTTTTTATCAAAGAAGAAAAACTAATACTTATTGATTTTTATTTTTTTTAATATATAAATTTGAATTATTAAGCTGCCTACTATCTACGAGGATCTTATCTTCTTCTTCTTTTTTTAAAATGAAAATATCAAAGGGTTTATTATAAAACTTTCTATAAGTAAGAAGACATAATATTATTAATTAAGTTATTTTTATTGTCTAAGTATTATATAATTATTAAAATATATATCGAAAGTTTGGTAATATTTTATTATATTCAACAAATCCAAACACTAATTGTAAGGACTAGAAAGTAGAAGAATAGAAAAAAAAAATAAAATAATAATAATAATAATAAAAACGACGTCGTTTTAGAAAGGGTCAAAACGACGTCGTTTTGAAAGAAAGGAAAACGACGTCGTTTTGGGATGTAGGAAAACGACGTCGTTTTGGGGTAGGCTGGCAGAGTATAAAAGGAGGTCGGGAAAGGGAGAAGGAAAAAGAGGAGAAAGGAAAAAAAGAGAAAGAAAAGGAAAAAGAGAAAAAGAGAAAAGGAGGGAAGGAGGACAGCGGAGACGAAGAAGAAGAGGAAAGTTCCAGAAGGAGAGAGGAGAGAGTCGGGGCGGAGGGGAGCGAGAAGGGAGAGGGAAGGAGGCCGTGGACGGACGACGCGACCGGCAGGAAGAAGGAAGATGGAAACGGGAGGTACGGTGAAAATTTGAGCTGTTTGGTGTGGTGTGTGTGTGTAGAGAATTTTTTTGCAGGTTGCGGCATCGGCAATGGCGCGACGGAGTGGAGCAGCGAAGGTAGGCCGCAAGCGTGGGGTTGTCCCGCGCGCTCACGGAGGTGATCGGGGAAGGAATGGAAAGTATGGCGGTGTTGGAGGCGTGTGGGGAGCCGTGGGGAAGGATGGGGGTGGTGCGGGTAGAACAGAGTGAGGAGGATGTGAGAGAACAATCTAGGGGGCGCGGGTGGGATAAAAACTCGAGAGGACAGAAGAGGTGTGTGCGTGGTGTGTGCGTGGGTGGGGATGTGGAGGGAGCCGCTAATAGGCGGTGATGTGTTTCCCCGAAATGCACGGTGGTGAGGGCGTGTATGTGGCGTGAAACGGTGCAAGCGGAGAGGTTAATCGCCCTAGGTAGGCAAAAGTGTATAAGAACCGGGAGGAGGCAGGAGGATGGGGGAGGTAGCGGGTAGGGGGCAGTGGGAGAGGGAAGGGAGCTGGAAGGTACGGCAGTGGGGACTAGGAAACAGGATTTGAGGGGGATTGGATGGGAGAAGGGGAGTAATGTGGTCAGTAGGAGTTAGCAAGTTAGAACGCTTGGGACTAGCATGGTATAAGGGGAGATGGGAGCATGCGGTTTGGGAGGGGAGATTTGGAGGCCGTTGGTAGGGGCGGGTTGAGTTGCCGATGTTGGTGGAGCGGGGAGGGGATATGTATGTGAGTGTGGCCTAGCAAGGCCGAGAGGGGTAGAAGGGTGCATGAGTCACGGATGGTGGTGACGGGAGGTGGAAATGTTGTGTGTGTGCGTGGCCCAACGAGGTCGAGAGATGGAGGAGTGAGTATGAGTCGCCGATGTTGGTGACGCGAGACGATGGTATTTGTGTGTGTGTGTGGCCTCTTTAGGTCGAGAGGTGGAGGATTGAGCATGAGTCGCCGATGTTGGTGACGCGAGACGATGGTATTCGTGTGTGTGTGTGGCCTCTTTGGGTCGAGAGGTGGAGGAGTGAGTGTGAGTCGCCGATGTTGGTGACGCGGAATAATGGTGTGTGGGTGTGTGCGTGGCCTATTAGGTCGGGAGATGGGGGGAAGAGTGTATGAGTCGCCGATGTTGGTGACGGGAGTTAATGGATGATTGTTGGGTGGGTGGGGTTGTTTAGCCATGCTATTTCCTTGGAATAGGACCTTGATAATTAGTGTAGGGAGAGGGTTATGAGTTGTTTGGGGGTTGGGTAGGATAAATGCATATAGACATTTCTGGAAATTCTTGTCACTGCATATTACACTTACAACTTGATTTTTATCGTATTGAGTTATGTGAACTCACTTCTCATCATTCACAGGTGGAGTAAGAACGGAATTGGGATCCGAGCGGCTGGTAACGGAGCCCCGTCGGTAGTGCCATAGGGCACAAGTTTTGTTTGTGATTTAAAGTAGTGTGAAAGGATGGTTTAGTCTGGATATTGAATATCTAGGAATGTTTGATATTGTATTACTATGTGTTGTAGAGGTGGAGATGTATGTACAATTGATTTGGAACATGGAAGGTGGACCAA